ACTGAAAATAAATGCATACACTTATGAACAAAGACTTAACTGTGGTTAGGTTCAGTGGCTCACACTGTAATCCCAGTACTTTCAGAGGTAGAGGAGGGAAGACTGCTTGAGCCCAAGAGTTCAACACCAACCTGGGCAACACAGGGAAACTATGTCTCTACAAAAAAAATCAATTACCCAGGGGTGGTAGTGGCACACACCATAGTCCCAGCTATAAGAGGCTGAAGAGGTAGGATCACTCAGGCCCAGAAAGTCAAGGCTGCAGTGAGCTATAATCATGCCACTGTACTCCAGGGCCTGAGCAACCAAGTGAGACCCTGTCCTCCAATGCCCGCCCCCCAGCAAAAAAAGATTAAATTATGACATGATTCATTATACCCAAAACCCAAAAATAGCCTAAAAGAACAAAACTGAAGGAATGGTTAAGTGATCTGTACCACAGTCATAATTTGGAGCCATTTAAAAGTCATGCTTGAGGGAATGTAAAACAAGGACCTCTGGTGTCAACTCATGGCTGTACTCACCTCTACAGAGTAAGACATTTCTTCATTACAGTTGTCATTAATTTTTTCAAATAGTTCTTCACATAACTAGGGAAGCAGAATAAGAGAGGCATGAATAGCACAAATGAGAGGAGTACTAAGTTATCCACACGTGCTCAATTAGCCAGACGTCCTTTCTCAGTCTGTCTCAAAATATATGTCATAAACACCAAGGTATGATTAATACTTTGAATAAAGTCAGTCATATGCTGCATAACCATGTTTCAGTCAACGAGGGACTGCATACATGATAGTGGTCCCCATAAGATTATAAGGAAGCTGGAAAATTCCTATCACCTAGTGATATCTTGATGATCCTGATACTGTGTAGGCCTAGACTAATAAACATGTGTCTTAGGCTGGGTACAGTGGTTCACAACTGTAATCCCAGCACTTTGGGAGGCCGAGGCGGGCAGATCAAGAGGTCAAGAGATCAAGACCATCCTGACCAACATGGTGAAACCCCTGCACATGGTGGCGCATGCCTGTAGTCCCAGCTACTTGGGAGGCCGAGGCAGGAGAATTGTTTGAACTCGGGAGATGGAGGTTGCAGTGAGCCGAGATCGTGCCACTGCACTCCAGCCTGGGTGACAGATCAAGACTCCATGTCAAAAAAAATAAGTATGTGTCTTAGTTTTAAAGAAAAAGATTTATTTATTTATTTATTTTTATTTAGAGCCAGATTCTCACTCTGTCACCCAGGCTGGAGCACAGTGGCGCAATCGCAGCTCAATGCAACCTCTGCCTCCCGGGTTCAAGTGATTCCCCTGCCTCACCCTCCAGAGCAGCTGGGACTACAGGCGTGTGCCACCACACCCAGCTAATTTTTGTATTTTTTGTAGAGATGGGGTTTCACCATGTTGGCCAGGATGGTCTCCATCTCTTGACCTCTTGATCTGCCCACCTCAGCCTCCCAAAGTGCTGGGATTACAGGCTGAGCTACCATGCATGGCCTAAAATTTTTTTTTTTTAATTTAAAATGTGGGCTGGGTGCAGTGGCTCACACCTATAATCCCTGCATTTTGAGAGGTTGAGGCAAGCAGATCACAAGGTCAGAAGATCCAGAACATCTTGGCCAAAATGGCAAAACCCTGTTTCTACTAAAAATACAAAAATTAGTTGGACGTGGTGATGCACACCTGTAGTCCCAGCTACCCTGGAGGCTGAGGGCAGGAGAATCGCCTGAACCTGGGAGGCGGAGGTTGCAGTGAACCAAGATCATGCCACTGACTCCAGCCTGGGCAAAAAGAACAAAACTCCATCTCAAAAAAAAAAAATTTGCTCGGGTACAGTGGGTCATGCCTGTAATGTCAGCACTTTGGGAGGCAAAGGCAGGCAGACCACTTGAGGCCAGAGTTCAAAACCAGTCTAGCCAACATTGCAAAACCCATCTCTACTAAAAATACAAAAATTAGCCAGATGTAGTGGTATGTGTCTGTAGTCCCAGCTACTTGGGAGGCTGAGGCATGAGAATTGATTGAACCCAGGAGGCAGAGGTTGCAGTGAACTGAGATTGTGAGACTGCACCACTGCACTCCAGCGTGGGCGACAAAGCAAGACTCTGTCTCAAGGGAAAAAGAAAAAAATTTAAAAATACAAAAAAGCTTATAGAATAAGGATATCAAGAAAGAAAATACTTTTGTAGAGCTGTACAATGTGTTTGTGCTTATTTTTGTTTTTTTTGAGACGGAGTTTCACTCTTGTTGACCAGGTTAAAGTATAATGGCACCGCTCACTGCAACCTCCATCTCACAGGTTCAACTGATTATCCTGCCTCAGCCTCCCGAATAAGCTGGGATTACAGGCATGTGCCACCATGCCCGGCTCATTTTTTGTATTTTTAGTAGAGACAGGGTTTCAACATGTTAGTCAGGCTAGTCTTGAACTCCTGACCTCAGGTGATTCACCCCACCTCAGCCTCCCGAAGTGCTGGGGTTGCCAGCATGGGCCACTGTGCTGGGCCTGTTTGTGTTTTAAACTAAGAGTTATCATAAAAGGATCAGAAAGTTCAAACAATTTAAAAGCTTATAAAGTAGAAAAGTTAAAACAATTTAAGGTTAATTTATTAATGAAAGGAAACTGTTTTTAAAAGCAAATTTAGTGTAGCCTAAGTGTGCGGCATTTATAAAGTCTACAATAATGTCTTGCAATGTCATAGGCCTTCACATTCACTTACCACTCACTCATTGGCTCACCCAGAGCAACTTCCAGTCCTGCAACTCCATGGTAAGAGCGCTACACAGGTGCACCATTTTAAATCTTTTTTTAAAAATCATATTGTTACTGTACTTTTCTCTGTTTAGATATGTATAGGTACGAAAATACTTACCATTCTATTACAACTGCCTATAGTATTTAGTACAGTAACATGCTATACAGGTTTGAAGCCTTGGAGCAACAGGCTATACAATATAGTCTAGGTGTGGAGTAGTTTATACCTTTCACGGTTTGTGTAAATACACTCTATGATGTTTGTACAACAACAAAAGCACCTAATGACGAATGATGCATTTCTTAAAATGTATCCCCATCCTTAAGAGATGCACGACTGTAAAAGGAAAATTTTAAATGCAATCTTCTCATTTAATCTTTTTTTCTTTTTTTTTTTTTTTTTTTTAAGTTTTTATGGTCCCAGACTGTGGCTCACGCCTGTAATCCCAGCATTTTGGGAAGTCAAGGTAGCAAGATTACTTGAGCCCAGGAGTTTGAGACTAGCCTGGGAAATGTCGTAAGACTGTCTCTACAAAAATATTTTTTAAATTAGCTAGGTATGGTGGCACATGACTATAGTCCCAGCTACTCTGGAGGCTGAGGCAGGAGGATCACTTGAGCCTCGGAGGTCAAGGCCTCACTGAGCCATGATCACACCACTGCACTCCAGCCTGGTCACCAGAGTGAGACCCTGTCTCAAATAAACAAGTAAATAATGAAGTTAATTTGTAAACACTTATGTCTTTCACCATTAAATCCTAAGTGAAACAAATAATGAAAATAAAAATAAATATCCACGTCAGAACTCTTCTTCATTCCCAAACAATAAAGGATCAAATACAATAATACTAACTGCTCTAAAAAAAGAAAGAGAATCTTAGAGTGTTTGCTGTCTAAAGTAACAGTATTAAATTAGTAAAATAAAATGAAAATGTCTCCAAATAAGCTATCAAAAAAAAAGAAGGAATAATCACATTTTTCAGAGGTGATCTATACATAGAATTTGGAAAAAAATCAGATCAAAATATTCCCCAGGTGTCCCTAGGACTTAGAACTGAGTTTTAACAAGCTGGTACCACTTTTCAAACAATACAATAATATGGCCTTGGATATATGGCAAAATCATTACAAAACACTGACTTTCCCACCTTTAACAACAGACGTGTACGTGTCAGTCTTTCCCATTCAACTGTAAGCTCGTCTCAGGGAAAAGAATGGGTTATTCACCTTTGTGCCTGACATAAAATAATCCCTACATAAACGTTCGCCAAATAAAAATAACTGTTAAAGCAATTAAAGACTAACAGCAATAATGAGCAGAAGATTGTTGTTTTGTTTTGTTTTTTTACCTGTGGAATGATGCCAGCCTGGCTTTCTTCTTGTTTACCCATCATTGTATAAGATTTTCCAGCACCAGTCTGCCCATAGGCAAAAATACAAACATTATATCCCTCAAAGGCATGTAAGAGCATTTCCTTTCCAATGTCATTGTACACACGGTTTTGAGATGCAAAGCAGGGATCTTCAGGCTGTAAAGAGTAAAAGGAAAAATAAATGACCTTTTGTTCATATTTCTTCCTATGCTTACTTGATAGCTTCCATAATAAACGAAACAGTCACCTAAAATTGACTTCACATGTTTTAAGCTCCCTCTACACAAATTTACTTTTCTCATTAAATACATGCACATGCACACACACACACACACACACACACACTCACAAACATGAGCACTATTAGAGTCATCCAGGTCAGCCATACTTAAAAATATCTACATAAAATTATCTGGCATAATTTCATTTTATTTTCTATAACCTTAAAAGTATCACTCTTTCATTCACAGAGCCAAGATTTTACGTGGAAAATGAGAATAAAAGACCAAGGGTCATGTTCACATATAAAATACTTCTTTGAACTCCCTCCAGCTAGTAGAACTATTTCTCAATAAACACTGCTTTCAGGGAAGAGTGTTTCCATTCTCCTTCTCAGTCCCTTCCCTTGACAATTAGGCTTTGTCAATAGTTAAAAACATCTATTCCCCAGGGCTGGGCACCGTGGCTCATGCCTGTAATCCCATCACTTTGGGAGGCTGAGGCAGATAGATCACTTGAGGACAGGAGTTCGAGACCAGACTGGCCAACATGGCAAAACCTCATCTCTACTAAAAATACAAAAAAACTAGTCAGGCGTAGTGACACAATGCCTGTAATCCCAGATACTCAGTAGGTTGAGACAGGAGAATTGCTTGAATCGGGGAGGTGGAGATGCAGTGAGCCGAGATTGCGCCACTGCACTCCACCCTGAGCAACAGGGCGAGACTCAGTCAAAANAAAAAAAAAAAAAAAAAAAAAGACAGGAGAAACAAAACCAAAACACCTAACAAAGAGATGAGTCATGCAGAAGTAAACTCCAGGAACAATCCCTAACAAGAAGAACATTTGGGGTTCCACACTGAGTAAGGATACCAGGACGGGCCCTACTCTCCATTTTCCTAGACATTGGTAATCTTTTTTTTCCCATGTGGATCCGCAGCCTCTTTCATTCATTCATTCATTCATTTATTTTTGAGATAGAATCTTGCTTTGTCACCCAGGCTGGAGTACAGTGGTGCAACCTTGGCTCACTGCAACCTTCACCTCCAGGGTTCAAGCAATTCTCCTGCCTCAGCCTCCCAAGTAGCTGGGATCACGGGCGCCTGCCACCACGCCCAGTTAACTTTCTTTTTTTTTTTTTTTGAGACGGAGTTTCACATTTTGTTACCCAGGCTGGCGTTCACTGACGCAATCTTGACTCACTGCAACCTCCGCCTCTGGGGTTCAAGCGATTCTCCTGTCTCAGCTTCCTGAGTAGCTGGGATTACAGGTGCCCACCACGCTGCCTGGCTAATTTTTATATTTTTAGTAGAAATGGGGTTTTACCATGTTGGCCAGGCTGGTCTCAAGCTCCTGACCTAAGGTGATCTGCCCACCTCAGTCTCCCAAAGTGCTGGGTTACAAGCATGAACCACTGCACCTAGCAGCTAATTTTATTTTATTTTTTTTTTGGTATTTTTAGCAGAGACAGGGTTTCATCTTTTAAAATGTTCAAAACTCACACTGCCTTACTGCAATTAAAAAAAACAATTGGCTGGGCACAGTCACTCATGCCTATAATCTCAGCATTTTGGGAGGCTGAGGCAGGTGGAGAGGTCAGGAATTCCGAGATCAGCCTGGCCAATATGGAGAAACCACGTCTCTACTAAAAATAGAAAAATTAGCTGGGTGCCTGTAGTCCCAGCTGGTCGGGAGGCTGAGGCAGGAGTATTGCTTAAACCCAGGAAGCAGAGGTTGCAGTGAGCCAAGATTGCCCCACTGCACTCCAGCCTGGGTGATAGAGCGAGACTGGGTCTCAAAAAAAAAACACCCCAGTTTCACTATGGTCATTCCAATCTTGCTGGCCATTCCCTCAAAATTCAACTTAAAATTAACAGTACTCTAATCAATTTTAATTTGCATTTCCAGCCAGGCATGGTGGCTCACGCCTGTAATCCCAGCACTTTGGGAGGCTGACACAGGTGGATCACTTGAGGTCACAAGTTCGAGATCAGCCTGGCCAACATGGTGAAACCCTGTCTCTACTAAAAATACAAAACTTAGCCAGGCACGGTGGCACGCACCTGTAATTCCAGCTACTTGGGAGGCTGAGGCAGGAGAATCACTTAAACCTGGGAGGCAGAGGTTGCAGTGAGCAGAGATGGCACCACTGTACTCCAGCCTGGGCGACAGAGTGAAACTCTGTCTCAAAAAAAAATAATAACAATAATAATTTGGCATTTCCTAAGATCAATGAACAATAATGTTGGTAATGAGGATCCTAAGATACTGATAAATAAATCCTCAAGGGATGTCTAAAATCAGTATAAATTTAGTGTAGGTTCAGCACAAATTTGGCGTAAGCTAAAATATGTTCTATATGTATATATATTTACATATATATGTGTGCATAAACTTTCCATCAACCAAAATACTTTCTAAGAATGAAAATGCTACATTACTACATCAAAGAATGAACTTTTGGTAGACAACACTTAAAAAACAAAACTTGGACCTGCTCAGCTAAGAGAAAAGACAAATTGTCAAGGAAAGAGGAAAGGATGCAGGAGCTGGCAGTGCTGTGGAATGAGGGTACTCACTGAGGTATGAGACCAGTAGGAATAGTCGAAGCTGAAGGACTTTGGAGCTTCCTTTGGATTCTTTGGGTTAATAATACCTAGAAGATAAAAATGTTTCATTTTATAAGTCACTCAATTACAAGTTCTTTAGTTAAACATGTTATTGTGTGTTCAAAACACCCCAATCAGTAAATTCATACCACTAAATCTGAATAGGACAATTGAAAATCAATAAGCTGGGCTCAGTAGCTCATGCCTGTAATCTCAGCACTTTAAGAGTCCGAGGCAGGCAGATCACTTGAGGTCAGGAGTTCAAGACCACCCTGGGCAACACGGTGAACCCCCATCTCTATAAAAAAACACAAAAAAACTATCCGAGCATGGCGGCACACGCCTGCAGTCCTAGCTACTTAGGAAGCTGAGGTGGGAGGATCGCTTCAGTCTGGAATTTTGAGGTTGTAGTTAGCTATTATCGACCCACTGCAGTCTAGTCTATTTTGAGATCCTGTCTCAAAAAGGAAGGAAGAAAGGAAGGGAGAGAGGGAGGGAAAGAGGAAGGGAGGGAAGGAGGGAAAAAAATAATCACAGTTTTAAGAGGTAATTTATACATGGAACTTGAAAAACCAGATCAACAGTATTAACTGTGTGTTACCAGTATTCAGAACAGACCCTGATATAAAGTAGATGCTCAGTAAATATTCTGTGACAACGTCTATCCTCCCTAGGTAAGTTAGCAGCCAAAATTTGGAAATGAACCACATTACTATTTCTATTCTTTTTGGAGACAGTCTCCCTCTATTCCCCAGGCTGGAGTGCAGTGGTGCAATCTCAGCTCACTGCAGCCTCCGCCTCCCAGGCTCAAGAAATTCTCCTGCCTCAGTCTCCTGAGTAGCTGGGATTACAGGCACCCACCACCATGCCCAGATAATTTTTGTATTTTTAGTAGAGACAGGGTTTCCCATGTTGGCCAGGCTGGTCTCGAACACCTGACCTCAGGTGATCCACCCGTCTCGGCCTCCCAAAGTGCTGGGATTATAGGCATGAGCTGCCACACCTGGCCCATATTACTATTGCAAGGCACCTGTTAAGCATTGAAATATTGGAACACATTGGAAATGGAGCTGGGCGCAGTGACTCACACCATACTATAAAACCCAGCACTTTGGGATGCCAAGACAGGTGGATGACTTGAGGTCAGGAGTTCGAGACCAGCCTGGTGAACATGATTAAACCCCGTCTATACTAAAAATACAAAAGTCAGCCAGGCATAGTGGTACGTGCCTGTAATCCCAGCTACTCTGGAGGCTGAGGCAAGAGAATCACTTGAACCCAGGAGGCAGAATTTGCAGTTAGCCTGGGCAACAGAGTGAGACTTCATCTCAAGAAAAAAAAGAAGTGAAAATCAGAAAATTATTGAATGAATCCAACCACTATTTGAAAGAAGCTCTTTTTAAAGATCTTACTTTCTACTTCAGAAAAGCATTTGGTAATGAAGCACTCATAACAAATAATAATGTTCCTTCTTTTTTTTTATATTTTTAAAATTTTACAGGAGTTCCCTCCCCTCAGGATCAACTCTATTATTTCTAAAATCTACGGTTGACAAGTATGTAAATGTGTATGTGTGTGTATGTACGTAATGTAGTATACAGTGGAATCACAGACTAAGTTATTTTAGAGTGTAATTAACCGTGTTACCAGTATTCAGAACAAACCCTGGCATAAAGTAGACACTCAGTAAATATTCTGTTTTTTATCCTCCCTAGGATAGTTTGCAGCCAAAATTTGGAAATGAACCACGTTACAGCAAAATTACTTTTTTGACCGAAATGCATGAAGTCTCACTGCCCACATTAAGAGTGATTTCTCATGTCATTAATCCAGCCACATTATACTTCAGAGACTGACTATGATTGCTAAAACTTAATCTTTCCCCCTCATTCATACACACAAAGCTTTAGCTCCTCAAATTTCACATGAATCTTTATGGCATGCGGTCATGAAATCTCCTCAAAGACTGGAAATCTCAACCAATCCACTCCTTTGAGGCAAGACCACATCCCAGGCTATCAGTGAGATCAGGATTAAAAAATAAATCTGTCTCGGACAGCTGCTACTCAGTACATAAATAGCAACAGTTGCTACGGTTCTTAGGATTCTCTTTCTTGCTGGATTCCACTGGGTATAGCCATGCACTTATGTTCCAACCTCAAATGCTGACAGAGTATTAATAAAGCTCACACTGTACATAATCATGTGACAAGGAGACATGGTTCTAGAAAGAACATCCCTCTACACACAAATGGTAATCCAAGCAAAGCAGTGTACTTCTAACCAAAGAGGTATTAAATACAAGATTTAAAAAACAGCCAACATTCACAGAACACTTACTCTGAGCCATAAGTACTTTATGTCTACTAATCCCCCTTTTTCCCCCCCGAGACAGGATCTCACTCTGCGGCCCAGACTGGAATACAGTGATATGATCACAACTCACTACAGACTCAACCTCCTGGGCTCAAGTGATCATCTCACCTCAGCCTCCTGTGTAGATAGGACCACACCCAACTAATTGTTTTTATTTTTTGTAGAGATGGGATCTCACTATGTTGCCCAGGCTGGTCTCAAACTCCTGGGCTCAAGCCATACTCATGCCTCAGCTTCTCAAAGTGCTGGGATTACAGGTATGAGCCACCACACCAGACCTACTAACCTATTTGATGCTCCCAACCACTCAGGCAGATGTTTCATTACCCCCATTTGACAGATAAACAAACCATCAAGAGAGGTTAAATAACTAATTAATGGCTTCAGACCTAGCTAGTGCCAGATTCAGGATGTAATTTTGGAGAGCATGGCTCCAGAGTTCACACTGTTAGCCAAAACACCATCATTTAAATGCTTATTCCCTACATGCAGCATTGCCAAGGCTAAAGGTAGGAAGGCATTTTCATTGAGATACATGGGCACATGTACATGTAAGTGGCCACCCCACTAAAATCACACTATATGCATTGTTTAAAACTCTCTTTATGGGCAGGGAGCAGTGGCTCACGCCTGTAATCCCAGCACTTTGGGAGGCCAACCAAGGTGGGCAGATCACCTGAGGTCAGGAGTTGAAGACCAGCCTGGCCAACATGGTGAAACCCCATCTCTGCTAAAAATATAAAAAATTAGCCAGGCGTGATGGTGCACGCCTATACTCCCAGCTACTCGGGAGGCTGAGACAAAAGAATCGCTTGAACCCAGGAGGTGGAGGTTGCAGTGAGCCAAGGCTGTATCACTGCACTTCAGCGTGGGCAACAACAGCAAAACTCTGTTTCAAAAAAAACAAAAATAAAAAACTCTCTTTATGGCCAGGCAATGGCGACTCACACTTATAATCCCAGCACTTTGGGAAGCTCAGGCAGGAGATCACTTGAGTCCAGGAATTTGAGACCAGCTGGGCAACATGGTGAAATCCCATCTCTCCAAAAATACAAAAGTTAGCCAGACATGGTGGTGTGTGCGTGTACTCCCAGCTACTGAGGGGGCTTAGGCAGTAAGATCACCTGAGCCCAGGGAGATCCAAGCTGCAGTGAGCCAAGTGGGAATTGAGGGCCGGGCACGGTGGCTCACGCCTGTAATCCCAGCACTGTGGGAGGCCAAGGTCGGCGGATCACAAGGTCAGGAGATCGAGACCATACTGGCCAACATTGTGAAACCCCATCTCTACTAAAAATAGAAAAACTAGCTGGGTGTGGTGGTGGGCGCCTGTAACCCCAGCTACTTGGGAGGCTGTGGCAGAAGAATTGCTTGAACCAGGGAGCTAGAACTTGCAGTGAGCTGAGATGGTGCCACTGCACTCCAGCCTGGCAACAGCCAGACTCCATCTCAATAAATAAATAAATAGGAACTAAGAGGTCTGTAGTTCCTAAAACATGAACGACCACACAAATTCTACCAAGAAAACGGAAATGAATGTCATACTGTGTGAGTCAGATTCTAGGTTTCAGTAGCTCAGCAATAAGAACAATGATGAGACAAGGCATGCCCTCTGAGGTAATCCTCATCCTCAAAAACATGGTTATAATGAACACTTCTAGCCGCTAGAAAATTTGCTTTCAAAAAACTTTCAGGCCTCTGAACCATAAGACAGGGCCACAAAATAAATGATAAAGCTTTTTTTGTGTGTGTGAGATGGGAGTTTTGCTCTTGTTGCCCAGGCTAGAGTGCAATGGTGGGATCTCAGCTCACTGCAATCTCCACCTCCTGGGTTCAAGCGATTGTTCTGCCTCAGCCTCCCAAGTATCTAGGATTACAGGCAAATGCCACCACACCCAGCTAATTTTGTATTTTTAGTAGAGACAGAGTTTTACCATGTTGGTCAGACTGGTCTTGAACTCCTGACTTAAGGTGATCTACCTGCCTCGGCATCCCAAAGTGCTGGGATTACAGGGGTCAGCCACTGTGCCTGGCCAATAAAACTTTTAAATCATATTTCACTCAGCCTTTTAGCTACCAATTCTACAAAGAATTACTGAAAGACTACTCCAATCTTATCCCTTTTTCTTTTCCTCAGTAAAAAAAGAAATAAAGAAAAACTACACTAATGAGTTAACTTCCTCAATTCACACAAAATCCTTTTCCTCTTTGTCAATATTCCTTTCTCCCAGACCTTTGAAGCTTCTGAAACTAATAGATTTTCCTAACTTACATCTTCAAAACCAAGCTGCTTTTATTTTTATTTTTTTTTTTTAGACAGAGTCTCACTCACCTTCCCAGGCTGGAGTGCAGTGGTGTGATCTTGGCTAACTGCAACCACCGTCTCCCAGGTTCAAGCAATTCTCCCGTCTCAGCTTCCTCAGTAGCTGAGATTATAAGCACCTGCCATCGTGCCCAGCTAATTATTATTATTATTATTATTTTTTTTTTTTTTTCTGAGACGGAGTCCCACTCACCTTCCCAGGAGTGCAGTGGCGCGATTTCGGCTCACTGCAACTTCTGCCTCCTGCGTTTAAGCGATTCTCCTGCCTCAGCCTCCTGAGTAGCTGGTACTACAGACACTCACCACCACATCTGGCTAATTTTTATATTTTTAGTAGAGATGGGGTTTCAC